TGTGGCTTTGGAAATTTACATCTTGCCTAACTTGTGGTGTAAGCCCTGAGCCTTGTGATGAGAGATGCTGCTTTTAAAGTTTCATCACTCTAACCTGCCCTATCACTGAGTAACCAGACACCAAACCATCTGTGACATCTGAAAGTTAGAAGCAAAATTCAATGACATGCCCCATTCCAAGTTCTTAAAAGAAACTGAATCTGCAGGAAGATAAACTTCCTAGAGTAAAGACACATACTGTGGTTGACCTTGGACTTTTTAATATCACAACACAGCAGCTGGAAGGAAGGAAGAGGCCAGGCAAACAGCTCTGAGAAGAATGTCTATCTTGACAACAAACCACCAAGAACACACAGCTTCTCATCTACTTTTCAAAAAAAAAGTTGTTATTTGAGGAAGTAGGACTTAAGGACTTAAGGGGCAACTAATGCATCCTTGCTTAGTCTTGTGGAGCATAGATGTTGAGAGGTCGGTATTAAGGGCTTGCTATAAAAATCTTTTCCTCAAACGCTTGTGCTCTGCTGGTGGGAGTGTGAAAAGGTATAGTCGCTATGGAAAACCCTATTGTGGTTCCTCAAAAAAATTAAAAACAGAATTACTACAAGACCCACAAATTCCCTTTCTGGATATATACCTGAATGAAATTTGTGTCTTAAGAGATATTTCCACATGCATGCTCATGGAAGCATTGATGGAAGCAACCCAAGTGTCTATCAAAAGATGAATGGATAAATAAAATGTGCTATATACATACAATGGAATATTATTCAGCCTTAAAAAGAAAGGAAATTCTAACATATACTACAACATGGATGAACCTTGAAAACATTATGTGAAATGAACCAGTCACAAATACTGTATGACTCCACTTACAGGAACTACCCAGAATAGTCAAATTAATCGACAGAGAAAGTAGAATGGTAGTTGCCAAAGGCTGGTGGGAGGAGGGAATGAAGAGTTACTGTTTAATAAGTAGACAGTTTCAGTTTTACAAGATGAAAAAAAGCTCTGTGGACGAGTGATGGTTGCAAAACAATGTGAATGTACTTAATACCACTGGACTGTCCACTTGAAAATGGTAAATTTTGTATTACGTATGTTTTGCCACAATTTAAAAAGTAAATGATGATTAAATCTTTCCACCAGTTTTCAGAGAAATTCCCTCAATCTTCTGTATCATATTTTAAAACTTTGATACTACGTATAACTTAGCTGTTCCCTAATGCAAATAGAAGGCAAAATAAATGAACACACAGCATATGCTCATTAACAAGATACTGTGAGACTCACTAGAGTTAGGCTTCATTTGGCAGCTTTCTGAGCCCACAAATACCCATGGCTATAATTTTTTTATGCCAGACTTTCTAAGAAAATGTGTTTTATGATGCTTTGGAAAATAAAAATTCTCCTTAAAGCAAAAATCCAATTAACCATAGCTTAACAATCATTATATCAAGGAAGTCCATTTTAATGACTCTTAGTTATACAAAGGTCAAAGGTCATAAGAGCAAGTCTAATTTCTGTAAGAGAAAAAAATCACTATCTAAGACTTCATGATAACTAGGACTGCTGCCCAGGGAATAAAGACCCAAAGTCAAAGCTGTTATAGCATTTCCTCTCTTTATATACTAATTTAAAGTATACAAGGCAAATTCAAATACATGATTTCATTTGAACCTCATGAGCCACTCCATAAGATAAGTTTTAATATCACCAATTTTGAGAAGACAGAATTTATGTGATTTGACCAAAATTACCTAGCTATGAAGTGGCTAGAACCCAAGTCTTACAAGTTCAAATCCACTTTTGCGTTTCCCTAAATCTTAAATTTAGCTCTCTAGTCAAAGACTTCATTGATCTGGAAACTGTCCCAAAGACAAAGAAACATGCACAGCCTGGGGCTGTGGATGTGAAAAGGAGAATGTGGAGCAGCACGAAGAGCTCAAAGACCTTACTTCCTCACCCAGAAAATGAGAAATTACTTGACATACCCACCAGTCAGTATGATTTGTGGAATCAAAGGAATTTATTTTAAAATGTGAAAACATTTTAAAAGCATAAAATAAAATGGTAAGTCATTAAAAGGCAGTAGTTTTCAGGAGACTAAGACTTCATGGCATCAGCAGCAAGGATGATGGTGGAAGGTAAGCATGTGAGCCAAACAAACAAAGCCAACCTGCTGAGCCCAGAGTGGGCTGGAGGTACCAGTGAACTGGACACTTTGTGGGGACAGGAGGGGACAACAAACCTGCAGTTTGCCAAGATACCAGAGACTAAACTCTCAGCCCTTTTCTCACTCAGGAATTTCAAGACACTAAGGAAGGATGAAGGGGCCTTGGAAAAAGGAGCTATATAACTGACACTATAGACTGAATTTTAAATAAATAAAATAATCCAAGACATAGCAGTAACATACCATACTTAGCCCAAATTCTGGTGGGCACCAAGAAGGCTGGAGCTACAGGATCAGAGTGTGGCCACTATTTTCATTCCAGGGTTTGGCAGCTTCCTGACATTGTGAGCTGTGTCTTATTTATTCACCCTTAAAGAGTGGTTGGGAGGCCAGGCTGGGTGTTGGCAGAGGCACAGATGGAAGGTTACGGAGCAAGCAGTCTGGTGTCTCAGAGTTGGACTGCTAAAAGCCTTTCAGCCTCGGGTTTTACCTCATAATATTCATTGAGTGCTGACTCTACCTGGCAGTGTTCTCAGCACTGGCAATACAGTGGTAAGACAGCAAGGTGCCCTCCCTCAGACACTGATATTCCGGGGGAAAGACAGACAATCAACAGAGGCAAACAGACAATGTCATGATAAGGGCTAGGATGAAAAAGCATGAGACCCAAATGTCAATGACAAGAAGACAGTTGGAGGAAAAGCTCTCCAGGCAAAGTACCAGCAAGTGCAAAGGCCCTGAGGTGGGAACAAGCTTGGTTTGTTGGAGGAAAGACTGAGGGGAAGACTGCCATGAGCTCAGGTTAGCAGGGTAGCCAACAGTCAGATTAGTTAGGGTCTTGTAGGTTGTGGTAAGAAGTCTGAATTTTACACTCAGTCATATGGGAATTCTCTGCAGTGCAAAGGAGTGGCATGTCTGATTTATGTTTTCAACAGATGAGTCAGGCCTGACAGATCAGAAAGCAAGTAAGATACCCCTAGAATTCTCTATTGGAATGTTCCATTTTAATAGATTTCTCCATGACAACCCCAAAAGGCTAATGGCTTAATTGGCATTAAAGTATATACCAGTTAACACTTTAGTAGAAATCTGCCAGAATGCGAGGAGTATGGAGGAACAGGAGGTAAGAAAGATGACAATAAGGAGGGCAGGATGGCAGCCAGCTGGTGCTGGTCATTCCCTTTGAGACTGGCTCATCTCTACACCCTTCACAATTCATCTCTACAACTGGGAGCTGATAACCTGAGCCACCTGGTGTGTGTGCCTGGCTCCTCACCCCTGATCCAGAGTGCTCCTGTGACCGCTGCAGAGCTACCTGCCTGTGGACCCTTATCTTCTGGAAGGCCAGCCTTCCAGCTTTCACAGCCCATGGATTTTCTCAGTAAGAGCAAGGCAAGAACCTGAAGGGATGTCAACAGAAGAATACTTCAGTAATCTCTTTTTTCTTCTTGATCAGATGACTATACAACAAGAAGGAAAAAGAGGCCAGTGGGCCCCAGTTCAAGTTTGCAATTCATACCCTTCCTGCTTTCTGCTTGAAATGGCTTGTCTAAGTACTACCAGACAAACCTGAAGGATGCAACAGAGAAAACAGCCTCTGTTTGATTCCTACTTTAATTACTTTATATTGAATTATTCCTCAGTGATTGTAGATAATTTTTACCTACATCCAGGTCCAGCAAGCTATAAAGTTCCATCTGATCAAGGTAAGTTTTTACTTCTTCTTAGAAGGGTCCAAAAATTGCCTAAAGCAATAAAAACTGTCTTGGTATCCAAACTGCAGTCTGTCTTAGTAAGTGGAGGGTATGAACATCACAGTCACTTTCAATCTTGAGGAAGCCAATCAAACATCTTTAACACTTTGAGAGAGAAGAGAAACCAAGCAGACCCTATCAGTTCGAAACCAAAAATAGGCAGGGATAAGAATGGGAAAAAAGGAAAAACTATCAGAAGCAAAATGGCTGCTAGACGCTTCTAAGGAATCGGATCTATTTGCTTTTTCAAAGACACTGATAGTAAAGAAAAAGGGTGGCTTCTATTCCTCACATCACACTCTCCACACCACCCCCAAGAGGATGGGAAGGGGGGCAAGAAGAAACACCTTTGGCATTCACAGATCCAGATGGAAATCGTCCAGTCATTGTTTCAAAAGCTATTTTCAGTCAGAACACACTAACCATCATTTCTTACTTTTTAAGACTGCTTACATATCAGGATATGGTAGACTGAAAGGGATATTTAAATGTATGCAGTCCAATTTCCTTCAATGATAAAGAGTCAAGTCTTAGAAGGCTTTCAGGTAGTAGAAGATTCAGGAAGGGAACCCAGGTCTCCTGATTAGCATTTCCTATCAACCTTTATTATATGATATTTTTATATTATAAAATAAAAGCACATTATAGGGAAATAGGAATAGGACAGGAAGTCACCCATAATCCAGTCATCATACTATAACTTTCTTCCTTCTATCACATGCTTATTTCCTTCCCCCCAACATTTTTATAATTATATTTGACTAATGTTCCTTCCAATACACATGACCTTTCACATTATCAATGACACAGTCAAGGATTAAAAACTGAACACTGATACCATGTGGAATACAATTCAGTATAACCTGAACTGATTTTATTATCTTTACTAAGGATCGGTTCCCTCTAAGAGAATTTTGCCCCTCTTATTGACACATAGTAAAAATATACAACAGCACCTATTATTAGGGCTTGGAATTCAGATCCCTTTCATGGAGTATTTCAAACAACCCTCAAGAGGCCCTGGAACATGAGAATCAAACTGCTTAAACTTCATATCAGTTTTATTTACCTACCTGGTGCATCAGGTACTTGAAGAGGAATGAAAGGGTCAGATACACTGAGAAGTGGGGGGCTCGGACCCACAGCCTGCCCGCCCTTCCTTGTTTCAGCTGGAGTTGGTTGGAGGGAAGAAAGGGTCAATGAGAGAAAAAAAGAAAAAAGCAGAAAACACATCAAGTAAATCTAGATAAATTTACCATCTATTAGCCCAACAGCTATATCATAAATTATACAGGAAGTCAGGAAGTCTAAACTTAGAGGACAATAAAGAGGGATGAGTGGATACAATCCAGAGTAATGGCAAAGTATGTATGAGATATATAAACTGGTCCTTACAACATACTCTAAGATGCAACTGATGATTAAACGAGGATATTCATATGACTGAAATTCCATTTCTTCCTTGTGTGGAAGCCTACAGTAGTCTCTTTCAGAGTTCCTATAGCGATTACTGTCCATATCACACATTTCAACATGTAAACACTATCCAATCTAGCACATGTGTATAGGTACTTCCTATATACCCATTACCTCTTGAAGCTGTTTTATCACCAAATGTCTAATAGAGTGCTATGCAGACAGGTAGGAAGAGACAGAATTTTACTTCTTGCTTATTTCAAGGTTAGATAAGCCCTAACCTCTGGACTAATCTAACATACTATTGGCAGTCATTCTATATTTGGCAAACTTGTAGATTTACAGAAATCTATACACCCTATAAAATATCAGAGCTTGAAGAATCTTAGAATTTTCCAGCACAATTTTATCTTCCAGAAAAGAAATGAAGCCCAGAAGTTAAAAGACTAGCCAGGGTCCACCAGCAGACCCACTCATCAGAACCCAGGTCTCTTGGTTTCTACTTTACCATTCTTTACACTGCATTTTAATATTCAGTGTGTTCATTAATTAAAATTTCATCTGCGCTCTATACAGTGGATTAAAAACAAACTTTTTATTTTCAGATAATTATGGAACCACAAAAAGTTGCTGTTCACAGATTCCTGTGAACTCTTCAACTAGTTTCCCCTTGTGGTGAGATCTACAGCTGTAGGACAAGTATTGACGCTGGCACAATACTGTTAACTAGACGTTACTCAGTTTTCACAAGCACTCATTTGTGCACACAGTTCTTTGCAATTAGATCCTGTATACAGATTGGCATAAGCACCACCACAACAGGGATGCAGAACTGTACCCTCAAACAAAAGACCTGCATTATTGTACTCCTTATAGCCATGCCCACTCCTTGCTCCTGTTCCTATTGCTTGGAATCCACTAATCTGTTCTCAAATCTCTGTAATTCTGTCATTTCAAGTTATTAATTTCTCTAAAGGTAGATGGAGAAAGAGAAGGGTAAAATCATTGCTCTTAAGTCTGCAATATTTTTAAGTGAAACAATGAAATATGCTAAAAGAAAAAGAAATTATAAAACTAATTACATAGTATAACTTATTTTTGAAAAAAGTATATATGCAAAAATAAAATTATGGACATAAATACTGTAAAACGTCAGCAATTCTTTACTCTCAGACTGGGGTCATGAGTTCTTTTATCTTGTTTCTTTGGGCTTTTAGTCATTTCTCCAAAATTTCACAAATGAATATGTACTACTTATCAACAGGAAAGCATTTTAAATAAAGAGGCACACTGTCAAGATTTAAGCATCTGCCTCTAATGTACAGGCACAGTTCATCAGCATTTTTGCAGTTTTTCCCATAAAAATGTTTAAAAATACCCTTGTATCATCCTCCCTGATTCACTGCCAAATTTCCTGCTTGTTTCTTCCCCTGGTCAGTCAGAAGGTTTAAAATCAGTGAACAGACTGAGCTTAATTAGAAAACTTGTAGAAAACGATGCTATTCTGTACTTCACACAAATGAGGACATATCTTTTTTCTTTCATTTATAAAGAATGAAGGTGTCACAGAAAAAAATTCACATCACAAAGAAGAAGGAAATAAATCTAGTAAATCTAGATACTAGATACTAGAAATCTAGATACTAGAAGGGAAAATAATAAATGTTCATTTAAAAAAGGCTGGATAAAATGAGGAAAATATGAGGATGTTTTATAATGTTTGTAAAAGCTCAGTGTCACTGATTTACAAGATTCTTGAAATGTGGTTATGACTATAGCTTCTGAGCTGCACTGCTGAGGTACAAATCTCTATTCTGTCATTCTTCTGCTGTGATCTTGGGCAGGTCACTTAACCCCTCATAGGCTATTGTGAGGATCACCTGACATAATTCATAAAAAACACCTATCCAGTGAGCTTATTCATGTGTTCAATATATGTTCACTGTTAATACTGTCATAACTTTATTCAAATATATGTTTTTTTATGGCTAGGCCTTTAAGTCCCTTTTAAAAGAAAATACTGCCATTTACAGCCTTCAAAGTAAATGGAGAAGAGGCAAAAACAAAATAAACAACTCTTTAAAGCAGCAGTTAATACAAATAAACAATAAAACATCACCACATATGATAGGAATTAGGCATCAAAACTGGGAGCAGAAGGAAAATGACTAGGGACATTTATCATTAACATTGTTCAATCCAAGCTCCTCTCCTATGGCAAAAGGCAACCCTTTTCATTCATTCAACAAATCTATACTGAGCCAAACACTGTATTAAATGCTAGGATCCAACTGTAAAGCTTCCCAGAACTTACTCCATGATACCCTCCCAGGGAAGCTATATCCTAGCCAGGAGCATAGCAGGTCATCACCTTGCCTACTGCACAGTTAGATAAGCCTATCTCAAGGACAACAGTCAGTGCTGTACACATTTGGTACATTTAGTCGACTAGGTGGCATATCCAACTTAAAGCACTTTAAACCAACCAAAATATCAATACATTTAAAAATTACATGAACCAGACAACACTAAAGATGAAAAATAACACAAAATATCTTAACTATTTAATATTAAAAAGCATGCCTCCCAAATAACTCTAATGCCTATTCCAACATATTAACAATGACACCATCAGATGAAGACTTATGGGATATGGTCACTTCAGTTTTTCTCATGAGGGAAACACACACCTACTAGGAAGCACCTCAATAAACAGTGCAATCCTTACACCATTTCCAAAAAATAAATAAACTTGAGATGTATTTAAGACCTAAATATAGGACCTGAAAGCATAAACTCCTAGAAGAAAAGTGGGCAGTAAAGTCTTAAACATCGACATTAGTGACTTTTATCTGGATATGTCTTCCCAGGCAAGGGAAACAAAAGCAAAAATAAACAAATGGGACTACGTCAAACTAAAAAGCTTCTGCACAGTAAAGGACACCATCAATAAAACAAAAAGGCAACCAACTGAATGGAAGAGGATACTTGCAAACGATACATCTGATAAAGGGCTAATATCCAAAACACATAAAGAACTCATACAACTCCACACCAAACACCAAATAACCTGATTAAAGAACAGGCAGGGGACCTGAACAGACATTTTTCCAAAGACATGCAGATGGTCAACAGACACATGAAAAGATGCTCAATATCACTAACCATCAGGGAAAATGCAAATCAAAACCACATGAGATATCACCTCACACCAGTCAAAATGGCTAATATCAAAAAGACAAGAAATAAAAAGTGTTTGTGAAGATATGAAGAAAAAAGAACCCTTGTACAGTATTGGTAGAAATGTAAATTGGTGCGGCCACCATAGAAAGCAGTATGGAGGTTTCTCAAAAAACTAAAAATAGAAATACCACTTGATGGACTAATTCCATCTTGGGGAGTTTACAAAAAAAAATCACTAATTTGAAAAGATATATGCCCTCCTATGTTTATCACAACATTATTTATAATAAACAAAATATGGAAGCAACCTAAATGTCCATCAATAGACAAATGGATAAAAAAGTGATGGTACATACAGACAACGGAATATTACTCAACCATGAAAAAACCCAAAATACTGCCATTTATGACAATATGGATGGATCTAGAGAGCATTATGCTAAGCGAAATAAGGCAGACAGAGAAAAAGAAATACCGTATGATTACATGTGCAATCTGAAAAACAAAACAAATGAGTCATCAAACAAACAACAGAAATAGACTCATAAACACAGAGAATAGACCGGTAGTTGCCATAGAACAAGGGAGTGGGAGATGGGCAAAATGGGTGAAGGGGACAAAGAGGTACAAGCCAATTATAAAACAAATAAGCTACAGGGATGAAAGTACAGCATAGGGAATATAGTCAATAATATTGCAATATCTTTGTATTTTGACAGATGGTAACTATACTTATCATGGTGAGAATTTAGTAATGCATACAACTGCCAAATCACTATACTGTAACTGAAACCAATATAATATTATGTATCAACTATATTTCAATTTTTAAAAAAGTATAATACTCAAAGGTTGGGGTGGGTGGGCAATTGGAGGGAGCAGAAGAGGATTCCTGTAGATTATAGTTAGCCCCTTTCGTCACGCTCATGCTTGCTGAAAATCACTGTTACACTGGGAGAAAAACTATATATATTTAAATTATTTTTTTAGACAGAATTTTTAAAAATTCTACTGTGTTCCTCTTGATACTGACAAAGCAAACCTAAGAAAAATAAGGACTCATAGTCAAAAAGACAAAAGCAAAAGTTAAAAGAATTAGAAAACTGATAAACAGTAGATTTTATAAACCTCAGAGTTATCTTTGAAAGATAATTAAAAAACAAATCTCTAGCTAGAGCTGCCAAGAAAAAGAGAAACACAAATACATACAATTAAAACTAATTTTTGCAAAGAAAATATTCTAAAATATTTTAATGCATTGCTCTATTTTATTTGAAAAAATTTAAAACTGCAAATGATTTTCTTCAACAATATTAATAAATTTGCCTCAGTATGTGGCAGAAAATCCAAGAGAGGCAGCTTTGGAGTCAAAGGGCTGGTGTCCCAGCTCTACCATTTACTAGAAAATGTGTCTCTGGAAAAGAGACTAGTCTGTGCTCAATTACCTCAACTGTAACAGATGCAGGGATATGTACCAACATCAAAGGCTTTTAGAGAAGGTTAGATGAGATAATACTTGTGTAGGACAAATGAAAAACTGGGTGAGGCGTTTATAATATATGACATATAAAGAACTCTTACAAATCAATAAGAAGAAAATGAACACAGAACATTAAAAAAAAGGCAAAGGAATGAACAATACAATTCCCAAAAGAAATCAAAATGGTCAAAAATGTGCTCTTTCTATAACCGCTGAGGTGGGTGGGGAAACAGAAGGGAAAAATTATTCCCACTCACTGTTGATCAAAATAGAATTTGTATAGCATTCTTGGAGGCCAATTGGAAATATGTACCAAAACCCTTAAAATTCACATCTTTTGATTTAGCAAATAATTTCTTAAAGTTATCTTAAAGAAATTATAAATGATATAAAAAATTTAGCTTCAAGACTGTTTAAATGTGGAGTAAACTAAGTACTATCAAAGGCGATGTTAAATACGATATTACTATTCTTCCACTAGAAATCATATGATAGATTAATATTGACATGAAAAACTACTAATTTTCATAGAACATTTATAAAATGAATAACAAACTATACCACACAAAGTCCCTCCATAAGCAAAAAAGGTGTAGGTCATATAGTCACACTGCAATTAAAATAATTCCTAAATAACTCTTGGTGAAAGACGAAATCAAAACTGCAATTTAAAAACATCCAGCGAACAAGAACAAGAGAATATTATATATCAAATAGGATAGAATAGCAGCCAAAGTTCTAAACAGAAATAAATGTATGAGGTTAGAGAAACCACTAACACACCTAAAGAAGGCAGGAAGAAAGAACATTGGTTAAAAAGCAGAAATTAATGAATATAATTAAAAAGGTTAAGTTTAGAAGTCTATCAACTTCCACATCCTATAAAGAATATATTCAAAACCTCACATTCACTGCTGAGGACATTATAACAGTAAAACCCTGAAATTAATTAATGTTTAAAGATGAGCTATTTGGTTAAATACATAAGGACATATCTATATAAAGGAATTTAACATAGCTCTTTCAAAAATTATATTTTAGGAACTTCTTTAATGATGTGGGAAATGTGCCAGATTCAGTTAAGTAAAAATATTAGGTTTTAAAATATAACTATAGAGATGTACATTAGAGTCTTAAGCTAAGGCCAAAAATTGTGTACAAAACTGTACTCATGTATTTTCATGAGGGAAAAGATCTAAACTTTCATTAGAGTTACATATTATCTGTGATCTTAAAAAGGTTAAATGTCACTAATAGACACCAAAATTGTATCCTTGTGCTATTTCTCAGTGGTGAGATCATAGGGATTTTAACTTTCTTCTTGATGTTTTTCTATAAATGACTAGCTTTTACATAAGTATGTGTAATTTTTATTAATGATGGTAAAACTAATTTTTTATTATTACTTCTACAATTTAAAAAAGGTATCATTTAAAAGGATACCTCCCTCTCTCTGTACAGACACACGCGCACACACACACACACACACACACACACACACACAGACAGCTTAACAGAGTGTCAGATATAGGCTAGAACATCTAATTCTTAGAATTCTTCATTCTTCAAGTCATTCCAAAAAAACTAAGCAATTATAAGCGATTAACAGAGAGATGTTTCTTAAATTCAGAAATATTTGCTCAAAATATGTACATGCACTAGAGAGAACAAATCTTATATCTTACTGCCATATCATTCTGTCATGTTAATTCAAATTAATTTATATATTTGAAAGTGATTTTTGATTCTTTGGTGAGTCTTTAGATTCTTCAGATTCCAAAGAGATTAGATTCTTTATCCCTATCTTTTTTACTGGAAAATTTTTTGAATGAAGAAAAATACAAACTACTATCAGGATCTGGGGCTCACTGGCCCGCTCTTATTTTCTGCGGAGTGGAAATGGTGTGGCGGAACAACAGTGAGCATGTGTCTGGTGTTTTCTATACTAACCGGTTCCGGCAACAGACGAGGCAGCAGCAAAGGCGTCGCTTGGGGGCGGTTGAAAACCTGGGATCAAACTCTCTGCTGAGCCTCCCAGCTTCTCAGGATGTTTGCCTGGAGGGAGAAACACCACTCAGTTCATTCCAGCTCTGCTACCGAAGCTTCTGAGAGTTTCCCACTAGCCAGTCCACTACCCACAACAGACCTAGGTTTCCTGAGGATGAAGACCTCAGGAAAACACCAATCAGCTTGCACTCATTTTCAGCATCAAGCCTCCGAGGGAAAGTAAGCCTGTATTTTCACATACATACCTCCCTAGAGTCAAGGTTAAGGATTCCCGAAAGACACCAATTACTCACCTTCCCCCAGCTTGGCAAAGTCCTTGTTTAGCAGTTCTTCAGCTGTGAGTTTGGAGAAATTGTCATCATCGAAGGGATTCCATGTAGAACCTTCTGAAGGATTATAAACGTTTTGCTGTGAGGTCCGAGGAGAGCCTGATGGAGTGGTGGTTGCAGACCTAGGTAGGTTCCCACCCCCGCGAAAGAAAAAGCATTATAAGTTGATAAGGCTTCATCTATTTTCTCTTTGTTTCAAGATAAATTCTTTTCTGAGTCAAACCATTATTTTCCACAGTGGTTTTCTCAAAGGGCTTCCCATGGCAATTGGACAGTTTCCACAGGTAACTTTTCCACTGTGTGAAATAAATGTCTCCCTTCCCTTCTTCATTCACTATTTCCCACTACTTCTTAAATCTTCTTAGAATTTTGGTTTCATCTTTCAATTCAGGATCCCAAAGCAGTCTTTTTCAGGCTTGTGCATTCTGTGGTGCCCACCATAACATCCACAAAACTGACCCCAGAGAGGCTGGGACTGATGCCTAAGTCAGGCTGCCTCCCCTCTGTCAGGATCCAGCAGACAGAGTATGAAGGGCCACCATCAGCAGTCACCATCACAGTTAAAGAGAAATAAATCTTGTGCTGCTAGGTATCTTTACCTCATTTTCTTCTAAAGTGTCTCTTGACATCCTTTGCATTTAACTAATGACTTAATTTAAAGATTTTTAACTTTGGACTGCATGGATCCAAGAAAGATGAGGGTCTGAAGTTGTACTGACTCAACAAACATTCATTGTAATCTACTTTACATCAGGCATGGAGCCAGTCACCAGTCTTACAAACGTTGATTAAGACATGGTCCTTAGAGGAATTTGCAGGCTAGGTCAGTTAGATAGACAAATAAATTATGATAACACAATGTGATACATGCTAAAAAAAAGGTTCAGACAAAATGATACATGGCATCAGAGGAAGGGTCAAAGAAAAAGTAACCTCTGACATGGATCCCGATGAATAAATAAGCATTTTGTAGGTGGACAAGGAGGACAATAACAATTCAGGGACAGGGCATAGGATAAACACAGCGCTTGTGAAGATGGAGAATGGCAAGCCCACCAGTGTGATACCACAGGCCTTGATCTGTTAACCACTGAATTCAGATATTATACTATAGATAATGGGGAGCCAGTGAAGTTTTCAGCTTGGAGCAACTTGGTCTGCTCAACAGTTTAAAACTACTCTGTAGAGCATGGAATGCATGAGAGAATGGAAACAGTAAGGCAACAGGAAATTATTTCTTAAAATCAATATGGTCTATATACTACAAGCAAATTCAGCTTTTTATTCAACACAGATGCACACCACTATGTATACATCTACATACATATGCAAAGAATCACACAGTAAAGGCCCACAGCAATCACTGTCCACAAAAGTAAGAAGGATAAAGGGGAAGCACTACATACTTGGACTTATTGAGGCTGGCCTCAGCTGCAGCTGCCTGGAGCAGCTGGGTTGATTTGCTGGCAGGAACCCCAAAGACTGCACTGTGGGTCACGTCACTGAGAATCCGCCTGTGCCCTGCACGTTGGGTCTTGGGGGATGATGGAGGAGTGAGAGATCCAAGTTTCTGTCCCTGGATGGCAGGAGGTGGGGTTGTCTGAACCTTTGGCTGTTGTCTTACTGGGGCCTGAATCTGCTAGAAAGAGATGTGAAAAGAGTTCCAAAAAAAAAAAAAAAGGTGAAAGGAAAAACAAATAAACAGACAAGCATACAACAAAAAATGCCATGTGGAGCTAACATGGGACTCAAATGGCTGTTTACCAATAATACCCAGAGGAAAAGAATAAGGCTCTGATTCTGAGCTGCAACTCTGGGACTAACATCAATGTTATTTATCTGGTGCTTTTATTTCTATCTTCATCAGCAACAATGTACAGGGTAACCATACACAATTCAGCCCAGAGCATAAGCCTGCAGAATCTATTCCTAGCTCTAAAAATCTAGAATGTATCCTAAAGGACCACTTTCTGCTTTCAGGGTCACAAAGGAACCCATTCAGAATGTTTCAAAAGGGCAGGCTGCAAGCATCCTACCACAGAAGCCAGTTAAGGCATACTTCCAGCTAAAACACATTTGAGCTGCATGATTTCTGCTAAGAGATCCCTGACTCTCCAACATAGCTCACACTACTAGTCAGGAATAAGTTAGAATAGCACTGCGAGTAAGAAATGGTGGTGCTTTTCTTGTTTGGTTATGAAGGCTCTTAATTTCATCAATATGTATCTCTAAGATTCTATCTCTGTGGCAACCCAGAAGAAAATGTACACACTGGGGCAATGATATAAGTTGTTCCAATCTTCAGTTTAGAAATGGCACTGAAGAACCAGGCTGAGAATACAAGAAAAAAGAAACAGTTGAAAAATCCCTTGATGATGACTGACCAGCTAACCCAAGAACTCGAGGTGTGGGCCATTTTCAGAAGGTAGGACAAACTGTCACTACAGAAAAACAAACAGGTAGGAACATCCTTGTGGCCACATGGTAAGTCTTTAAGCATAAGTCATGATCTACCAAGTGCTATTATCAAGAAGATGAACAAAATATGTTAAGGCCACCTAACCTTTTGTTTATGCCAATTCAGAGATGAAATGATTAAGAATATCAAATGCCTCAGGTATTTAACTATCCTTTCCCTTTAACCCCTCGTCTCCGATTAGAGCTGCCCCTCCAAACTGCAGCTCAGTTCCCACATTCTGTGTCTTTGAAGGTCATTTCCTTAGAGATTTAAGAAACCAGAGCATCCAGCTTCTTGGGTCAGGATGCTAGCAGCCTGGATGTTCTGTCCCCCTAGTGGTTCAGACATGCTCCACAGCTTCCTTGAGGGGCCCAGGGCTTCACTTGCACCAGCCAGCCCACAGCCAGTGCCCACGGGGCCAGCAGAGCTGTAAGGCCAGGACTAGGTTCGCTTAAGTTTGGGAGTTTAAGACCTTCATGACTCTGAAAAGGGTATTTAACTGTTGAGGTCCTTCATTTTGAAGGTCCAGACTCCTTGGAGAACATCTTCCCCTCCTCTTACCTATTCTCCATATTCGGCACAGCGAAGAACAGATACTTTTGGCACGAGGACGCCTTAGCCTATCACAGCAATCTACTCAGATGAAATGCCCCCAACCTGTCCCATTACTCTCACACAACCCTGTCAGGCAGTTTTTATTTCCATTTAGGCTCTAACAATGTGAGAATTGAAAAGGGACCTTGAGGAATTCTGATTCCAACTCTCTCGCTTTAGAGGACCCGGGACCAGCTGCTTACCCAAGGCCACAGGGCCAACTGGGGACAGGATCCCTGTCCTCTGACTACCACTCATGACTCTCTTTTCTGCATCATGATGCCTTCTCACCAAAGATGGGATTAGGAAAGAGGAGGAGGGAGACAGACCACTGGGGAAGGAAAAGCAAGGTAGACTCAGATATCTGTCTTGCAAAAAAAAAAAAAAAAAAAACCCACAAAATATATAATTATAAAAGGCGTATAATTACATCAAGGAATGTAAGAATAGAAATAAGAGGGGGGAAAATCACCCAGACTTCCATTCCACTACTCTAATACAACTGTTCTTATCTTTTTGTACATTATATTTAAATCTCTTTTCAAATATATCATGTGACATATCTTAACATTACCTCATGAGTATTTTCATACTGTTGTACAGACTTTATAACCACGAGTTTTAATGGCTGCACAGTTGAGGTCTTGAATGATTAGGCTGCTTCCATTCTTTTGACAATTATTAATAGACTGCACAAACGCCTATGGCATATGGCCATTTTCCCTCTGCAGATTATTGCTTTAAGATGGCTGCAGGGTATTCTTTACATTCATTCACTTGCTTTTCTAGGTAAGTCCTGCCAAGGGTCATCAGAAAAAGTGGCAGGTCAAAGCTGAGGTCTCTGGCTCCTGACTGAAGCACATTCTGCTCCTGTTTTCTCTCTATCCCCTCAATCAACTATCCCTGAGCAAAGTGCTCAAAGTATTTTTTTATTCAAGGAACATGAAGAAGGTTCATAATTCATTCCCAAGAGCGTGAACACTTTTATCCAGGGACAGCAGAGGGGAAGCTCATAAGAAGTGTGGTCCATGGCCAGCGATCATTTCATCTGGATGAGCATTTGTTATTGCTCGACCTCAGATCAGGATTCTTAGCTTGGCTACTGTTAGTTTGTGTGTCTTGGGTAAGCCCTTTCTACCTAGGCCTCAGTGTCCAATTCCACTAAATGAGGGGACTGGATCAGATAATTAAGATCTTAACCAACAATATAATATCATTTTTGAAAACTGTTTTTCCATTAACAAGAACTTTCTCTTGTTAAAAATACAAATAGCTGTCTACCACACGCCTGCAGAAAGACTAAGTTGTTTCAAAAATGAAGGTGTAAAGACACTGAACACACACTTAGCTGAGACTTAAAGAAGACAATCTATTTACGGCACTGCTTCCTTTTGAAGGGATGTAGGTTTTCTGGTTTAAGATGGGCGACAGAACTCTATTAGAAATCAATCCTCAGAAAGATGGTTTCTTACTTTTCCTTCGTTCGTCTAGTAGTTGAACTTCCCTGGGAATAAGAGAGTAACTGTGATACTCTATCAGCTGGGTATGTAAAATGCCTTTTTCTATCACTATAAAACTTTCTATCACTTTCACTCAGAAATATGTGAGTACAGAATTAAGGGACTTATTAGCAGGCAAAGCACAATGTGCCTGAGGATGCTCAAACTGTACCAGACCAATCAGGAAAATACAGGGTTCTCATGCTATACTCAGCCAATATCTAGAAGTGGACATGCCCAATTTCTAAATGATATGATGGCTCAAACAATACTCAGTTGCTCTGGTGCCCAGGGGAATTAGGCCGTGGTAAATGGTCCCAGCAAGCAGGCCTGTGAAGGGTGCTACATGGTAGTCTTAAATGAGGAGACTAATAATGTCATCTAAGACAAAGAACAAACACAGCACTGTCAGTACTCAGGGTGAAGGCGGGGCCCCCATGAACCTCCAGAGACTGGAAAGGCCACAGTGGTCAAACTGCCCCTTGGAGAGCAAATTCTGCCTCAGGCTCTTACTGCTCAACACTGGCCCTCACCGGGACAATGAACAGCTCTTTCTGTCCCCCCTAATTTTAGAGTGTTAAATAAAGTTCACCTTAATCAGTAGCCTAGAATCATTGTTTAAAAATCTCTACCTTCTATAGACTATGTCACCCTGTTCTTGGATATATCAAGAAAAGATCAAATATTTAAACCAGAGGGTGGGGAAGCAGCCCAGCCCTGACCAGAGGCCCCCTTGTCAGCAGCCACAGTTCTACTACCCTCCCTGCACCCCGTTCCGCGCTGGGGCTCCGACCCCTAGCCAGTGCTCACCGCTGGCTCCTGGGCAGGGGCCGGCTGCACCTGAGGCTGCTGCACGGCCGGCACGGTGGGCTTCTGCTGCGGGAGCAGCTGCTGCTGGTGCTGCTGGTACAGGCTCTGCATCAGTGGCTGCTGAGAGCTCCCCTGGGACACCACAGGGAACTGGGAAGTCGCTGGCTGCTGGGCTGCTGGGTGTACTGCCTGAAACTGACCAGGAGCAAGTGGCACGAATGAGGAGGTGCAGAAAAGACTGTTGCAGAATCAGGTTCCATGAACAACGAATTGCAGTGCGGAAGCCAAAGGTAAGTCTTTTAGCTTGGCCTGAAAACTCATGAGGGGAACCTCAGGGCATAACACAGCAGCACCTTCCACTGCCCGGCTGCATCCACGGCCCCTTCCAGCCTCTTGCCTCGCAGACTCACTTCCAGGTGCGTTTCTATGCCTAGGCTTCTATCTGACTACACGTCTTGTGACGCTACACGCTGGAGTGTAAGAGAAGTCCAGCAGAAATCCCTCTTACATAGGGATTTAGAAGTAGCCATGATCAAAATGCTTCTCTACATGAACAGGATGAAGCAATGATGACATTGAAAAGAAAAACCTAAATGTTAACCCAGCTATTAAGAGTCATCTCAAGCTTCCCTGAAAATTATCTCCTACTAGCTCTATCTTTATTAACTCTCATCTTTAAATATTCAGTTTACTCTATCACACATAATGATATTTATCTTATATTAGTAACTAATTGTCTCAAGTTATATTCTCTTACAAACATCCTAAGGATAGGGACGTCCCTCTACTCCCCACTGCTACAGACCATGCACTAGGCACAAGGGCCTGCTGATGAACAAAAGTTAATACCTACCTGTCTTTGAACATCCCAAACACTGTTACTTAGTTATAGAGTTAACTGAGAAGATATTGTTTGCCTACGCAGGCAAAGTTAAAGGGTTAAAAAGAATCAGAAGTCAATAAACAGCTGCCTAATTATAACTGCAGAATGCTAGAAACAACCAAATGTTTATCAACAGGGGGCTGATTGGATAAATTATGCCAAATGTCCCTAAAAGGAAACACTCTCAAGCTGTAAATAGGAATGAAGACTACCTCTATAAAATCAAGCATGTAAGGGATAGAATTTTGCAGATTTAACTTTGAAACTACGTAATATATTTTCACAAAACAAGATTAAACTAAAAGGCAGTAACTAAAAAGTGAAAGCAAAACAAAGCAAATAAACCTGTTTATACAGTTGGTAGGAAAACGTCCCAGAAAATAATGAGATAAATATTCTAAGGGTGAAAGGAGCAAAAACTGTTAAACTGTTTTTTCTGTTGTCATATTGGTACTGTTGTCCTGAAATTATAAATCAATTAATTAATTATGCTACTGTTACTTAAGGAATCAAGATTTCCAAATGAGAAAAATACAAATATAAAATCTAAGAAGTTTAAATGAAAATCCTAAGATTACAAATCTGAATTAGGAATGTAAATTTGAATTCATGGTATATATTTGATTAATAAAATTAAACAAAATGAAAAACCCAAAATGTATTTCCTAACTGTCCACTGAAAAGGCCTAACGTCAATAACTAACCATTAGCAAATGAATAGTCCTAACACCAAACGTGTGGTCTCTAAATACCATTGCCATTACAAGGAAATGGAGCTCCTGGTAGAGGGATCACTGCTTCCAGCTTAAGGGCAGAATGAGCCTGAAACAGCTTGTTACACTAAATAACAAGGAAACCATTAAAGACTACTGGAGTCACCACCAAAGTACTCAGGAGTCAATTTATAGTGCCACTGGCCAAAGTTGGAACAACTTGAATATCAAAATAATTTTTTAAATGGCAATGTATGGAAACATATTTGACACGTTAAAATCCATGCGTTTGTAATGATCCTAAGCAAAACAAAACAAAACAAAAACCTCACTGTTTACATCTGGGTAATACCAGGAATATTCTGAGTAAACACAGGGGAAGAATTGAGCATTTTTCCTGCCTTTTCTGTAAAAACAGTTCCTCAGTGTAATCAAGTAGTTGATAAAAAAAAGTTCTTCAAAGAAAAATTCCAGCTCAAGTGAAGAAGGAATGCTGGAGTATCATCATTTTGCCATCCCTAATGCATTAGGAGACTCAGGGAATGATCGGCAATGGCTGCTGAGCTGATGGGGAACATCAGATGAATGGATCAGAGAGACAACACCCCATTCACTGACTGATCTGAATATTAATAGAAGAGAGCACAACTAGACATATGGCGTCCTGATGTGATGGAAACAAAAGAAAAAATAATTATCAAACTGAATCAAGTATTGAGCAGGCCTCAGTACACTGGGGACGGAAGAACATACTAAATTATACCACAGGGATGCAATCAGCCAAATCCAGAATGTGGAGAATACCACAGGACCAATGAGCTAGTTTCTTAAAAACTTAAATGGCAAAGAGGAAAAAAACAGGGAGGGGGCACCTACAGATAAAAGATATGTCAATTATTATAAAATGAATATGTTCATAGTAAAAAATGTAGAAAAAAATATATGAAAAGATAATGGACAAAAAAGGTATATCACAACTAAATGTAATAATGTGAACCTTGTTTGTATTCTGACTCAAACACCCAACTTATATCATAAGACATCAGAAAGAAATTAACTGGATATTTGAATGATAACAATAAATTATTATTGCTGTTTTTTTCCCCAGTATGATAATGCTGCTATAGTTACATTAGGAAGTAAAGAAGAAAAGAGTCCTTAAAAAAAATAGCTCCCTTGCTAGCATTCCTCAATCAGGGAAAGAATTCCCCATTCCAACCTGAGATCAGGGTGCAAGTGACCCAGTGATTGTTCCACTACACAATGCTTTATAGTATCTACATCTGTGAGGAGCAACGATGCCATGGTTAATGGCTGGCTGTCTTCCCAGGGCTTCCCAAGGAAGATGCCTATACCAGTGGTCTTTTTCACAGTGATGGCTCAGATATACCAAGAAAGGGTTAGACTGACCACCCTACCTGCTGAGCCTGGGCCTGCTGCTGTGGCTGCTGCTGGTAAAACGTGCCCGCGGGCTGCTGCGCCGGGGGTGGGGGCTGCGGCTGTGGCTGCGGCTGCTGCTTGAGGAAGAGCTGCTGCTGGTGCTGGGGGGTGGCCTGGGCCTGGGTGGGCAGCCCCTGAGCTGGAGCGGAAGGTGGCTGCTGTGCGGTGGCTGGAGCCTGTGGCTGCTTCAGCTGGGCTTGTGGTAGAGGTTGGCTGGGTGGAGGCTGTGTTTTTGGTTGGGGAACACTGGCTAACAGGCCAGGCTGATTGCTGGATCCTGCAAGGAGAATAAATTCCATATAAGCGATCAAAACTCTTCCAGACAAAAATGCTTCCTTTCTTGCCAAAGCAACAAAGAAAGCATGAGAAGTAGACAGATAATCTCGAGATCCATGTGCTCCTCACTGTCTTTGTACCTGGAAGGCCCTTCCTTCTTCTTGCTAAATGATGCGCTTCATGTTTTTCAAAACAAGGCTCACTGCTTGTCTCCTTCGGAACATGTCTTCTCTTACTCACCATCCCATTTACTCAATTATTCCTTTAGTCAGCACCCTGAGCATCCACATATTCAACCAGCCTTTGATGCTCTTGTGTATAAACTTACTGGCATCCTGCAGGACAAACGCATCCTTTGATGTTTTACATTTAAGTTACACAACCCCAGTATAGATGCCAGGCTATTAAGTAGATGGCCGTCAAATTCACTGAAAGCAGTTTCCTGGTAGGAGAAGTGATGGTTAAGTTTAGTTACTTGATAATTTGGATCAATTCTCTTTATGAAACCAAACTCTGTCATCTTATTAGAAACAGAATACCAAAACATGGAGTGGTGACAGATACTTTACGAGACAGAACACCAAAGAAACAATTCCTCTGTGTGAAAAAGAGGCAAATCCTGTTTCTTTAAAGGCAAAGATAAGTATATGAAATAAACAGGTAGGTATGGGATGAATGGACCAAGCCACAAAATCAGGGCCAAGACTGGAAAAAATAGGCTTCAGCGGTCCTGGAGGTCCCCCACGGAAGTCATTGAGAGGCCTCTTCTTTTGCCAGCCACTTGCCATACAATTTCAATGGCAGTTTAACCTCCTGTTCCTCAAGGAAAACCACTATTTTTTGTGTCTCTGGATTTCATTCCTGAAGCAAACTCAGCTTCTAAGACTTCTCTGTTGTTCAGAGTAATAAAAAGGTGTGCCAAGTTTCAAACCAACCAAGTTACTGACCTACAGCCTGAGGTGGGGGCTGAACGGTGGCCCTCTTTCGAGGTGTCAGGGCTGGTTGGATGGGAAGAATTCCTGGGTTTGGCTGAGTCTGCCCAGCCTTAGGCCGCTGGCGGGGTGCAATTGAAGTCTCCGTGGTAGGAATGGGATCTGTCAGTCTAGAAAAAGAAAAGAGAAAAAAATCCATGTTAAGTATGGGGAAACGAGGAGGGATAGACAGAGTACATGATGGATTAGCTTTCTTCCCCACACTCACTGAAACCTTCCAGATCTTAATCAACAGTTCCTAAAAGGTTTTCCACTAGATACATATTACTAGATGTTATAAAAAAGGACTTAATGGGGAAGTAAGTTTTAACACACTGATCAAAATATATTGAGCAGATTTCCAGCAGAACTTTTTGTACATGGAGAACAGAAAGAACACTATATAGAATGCAATGTTTCTCAACCTTATTTGACCTTGGGATCCTATTATCTAATACCTCCTAGCATTTCCCAGAATATACTTTGGGTGATGGTGCAAATAGGGGTTTGAAGCATCTCCGTCAGATGGAGAGGGAACTTCAACTTGATTAGAAATAGCTGTCAAAATGGTCTCTCTCCAATAAAAAAGCATGTAATTGAGAATCCAGTAAGGCAACTAGATAAAATAAGTAAAATAATTCAAGGTAAAGGATTTGGGGAGTATGACAGGAACTCCATTTTCTCCAATACACATGCTTGAGTTCTTCCCATGGTAATAACATTTTTAGCTATTGCATACCTTAAATTTACACAGTTATATGTCAAAGTATATTTTAATTTAAAAAATTTTTAGGTGGCCATAGGGTCACCCAGAGTAAAATTCACATTGTCCAGTGGCTCTTGCAATCAGATGAGGCTGTGTGTCTAATTGATAGCTTTACATGGGATGTAAGCACATTGCTATGTGGCAGTTTCCAGAAACTGTAAGAAATAACTAGTGCATGCCCTTTGTCTCTCTTCTTCTTTGGCTACTCCTTCATCCTGTGGCCTCAGATAGGGATGCTGCCATATTGGCCCATGAGGGCACAACCACCAGGATGGTAGAGTTGTGAGCAAGAAGAAGCCTGGGTGCCTCCAGACTTGGTGGAACACAACTGCCATACCTGCCATGGAAAGCTTACCTCCAGGTTTTGTTACTTGTGAGAAAAAAATAAATGTCCACCTTATATAAGCCACTGTCATTCTGGCCTATCTGTAACTCACAGGCAACTCTAATCCAAATGAATATTTGAAGGACTGCTGTGTAGTCCGGTTGTTCCTTGTGATGGTGCTAACACCCACTGGAAAGGTCCATTCATTTAGAGCAGTCCACACAACTGGCTATTACCTAACTCCAATCAGAGTGGTTGTCCTTGAAATTGAACTTGAAGGAGTATAACTGAAGTTTGGCCAAAATAAGCAAGCTTCATGAAGATTTCCAAAATATGGCCAGTATAGCCTCCATGAAATGCAAAACAGGAAACAAAGCTGCCGGCCCCATGTCCTTTACTATGACATATGCCCAAGGTATGTCCATCCTGGACCTTGAGGCTTTTCAAGGGCATCCTGCCAGAAAGACGCTCTTGTGTGGGGGAAAGAACTGGTCATATAAAAACTCTTTCCTTTGAGGAGGCTGTAACCTGGGGAAGGGAGGTGGGAAAGAAGAGGGGATAGATGATGGAGAAGAGAAGAAACGTAAAAGAAAGACCCTCCACGGGCCTGGGAGGCTTCCATAGAAAACCAAATGCTAAGAACTTCCACATTGGACTTCCAAGAGTAATATCTTAGTGACAATGGGATCCAGAGTCAAAAAATAAAAAAACTGTATTCAAGCTTAGCTTTCCATGAACTGCGTGATAACAGGTATGTCACTGAACCTCTTTTAGTCTTGGGTATCTTATGTGTAAAATGGAGAAAATAATACCTACATCGTAAAGCATATGTGAACATTAAATGTGTCAATGACCGCAAAACTGTTTTATAAACTGTAGAGTACTGAAAATATTAGTTTGTATGGACCTCAATATGCTGTGAGAAAATACAAACTTTGAGGCTCAGAGATCCAGCTCTAAGTTGTCCTGTGCGTGTTTTATAAACTGGAAAAACACAGGCAAATCATTTGATGTACAGAGTAGAAAGAGTGTGGGTGCTAGAGTTCTGGTTCTGGTTCATTTCTTAACCGCACATTAACTACCTTTGGCAACTTATAATTCTGAGTGTTTCCTCATCTGTAAAGTGAGAATAACAACCTCATAGATTTGTTTTAAGGAAAGAAGTCATTTATATAAAGTACCAAGTATGTTATCTGGTATATATGATGCCTCAATGAATAGTGGCTACTTTAAAAATAGAGTTAGAAAGAAAAACCAACCTCTTAGGACTGTGGAGCAGATATGAAAATGGAAATGAAATCACTGTGTATTATAGAAAGGACAACTTAGACCCAAACCTCTTGGCTGTGAAGTTTGTGTATTCTCACAGCATTACTGAAGTCCATACAAACTAACAGTATGTGCACTCTATAGTTTATAAAACTGTTCCACAGTCATTGATGTATCTGATGTTCACATTGGCCTTATGATGGAGATATTTTCTCCATTTTTACACAACAAAGTTGTGTAAAATGTTACACTCAAATGTTAGTGGTTATTATCATTTTTACAAATGTGCGGGCTTAATGGGAATGGATCCTTGCTTAGCCTCAGTACATACTATATTTGGGCCTAGTACAAGATGGCCATAAATCAAAACTCAAAGCTCATTAAATCAGCCCCAAAAACAATTCCCAGAGGTCAGTATGGCAGACTTATCTAAGAAATAAACAGACTCCAAAGTAACAACATGGATATAGTTTGCAAAGTTTATTAAAAACCAAAGTCTTACTACTTTAGAGCCACATCAGCAGGCATTCGGGCAGTATTCAAAAATGTTTTAATGTGTAAGCTATTTTACTGTTCTATTAAAATTTACCTATTCCCATCTTGAGTACTTTATTGATACAGAGAATGTGGTAGAAAAGAGGTGTATAAATATCTTCTGAACTGCCCTTGGAATTTGCCATTTGGAAGGCAAGGCTGCCCTGAAGATGTGCCCTGCGGGCCCACAACTACAAAGGGTGCAAAAGCCCAAGTGCCCCAGGCCCTGTGCTGCTGACACCCACCTCTTGTCTGCCCTGAGGCCGCGCTTCCCACAGGCCGCTCCCAGCTACAGGATGTTAGCTCATGCTGTTCCTAGGAGCTGGAGGGGAATTCCTCTGGTAGCTGACTTTGGTTCCAGGATTCTCTGACACCTTTGGTGAACCTTCCTTACACTGTACGGTGGTTTCTGGGCCACTTGCACCCAGTCTTCTTGTCCCTCTCCCTGTCAGACTTACATCACCTTCTGATAGCTCCCCCATCTTTCCCTCCCTATTTTTCTCACAGGGGCATTTCCCCAAATAAAATTCTAGCTTCTTTACTCCTCTCTTGGCACCTATCTGCTTCTTGGAAGACCCTAGGTTACACAGGATGTGATCAGCTAAGATCCACAGGCTCTTCTGCTGTTCATGGACTTGGTGCTTTGACCTGTGGATTCCTAATGTGGTCAGGGCAACAGAAGGTAAGAAAGGGAGGTTGTGGTTGTGAGATTAGGGTGGTGAATGGAGCTAAACAAAGGCCTGAACATTTTAGGACACTCTTGACTATCAGTACTTAAAGTCTGCTGTTGCCACATCCCTGGACCTATTCTCAAGCAAAGAAAACAGCTGTGGAGTTCTTGATTCTCTTTCAAATGTAGATCACTGTATTTCATTACATTCCTCTTGTACTCCCAAAAAACAGTTTCTGCCAAGAGGAGACAGAGCTTGCTTTCCTGTTCTGTGCAACCTCTGGCCGTGGCAGCACAAGAATCAAGAAACACGGGAGTGGCACACATGCTCAGGAGGCATTTCTTACCTGGCCTTTGGCTGGGTCTTTTTTGCAGCTGCCTCACTGGCTTTCACTGGTTCTGGAAGTTTTGCAGGGATGGGAGAGCTCTACAGAATTGAAAGAAAATTAGAAAACAATATCACAGATTTCTTTGTAAACTAACAACCAGCATGACTGGGCTGATGGAAATATACTGGAGTCTTCCGGAATGGCTTCCCAGTCCTGATCTCTAGTAAAGGGAAGGGAAGTTAACTAAAAGTACATCTTATCGGACTCAGGCCCAGTGAGCGAGGCAATGTACCTGAGAAGAGGGTAGCACAGCCTATGAGCAGCACCCTCCTCCCCCGTCATTCTCAACCTTCTCCACCTGGCTGAGGGCCCTGGGGATTGATGTCAGCGTCCTTCTTGCAGCACAGCTTAGAGGTGATGTTATGGAAGGAACGGGAAGGAATAGTTATGTCTGTAACCGGTATTACCATTTAATGCTTCCAATTATATTTCACATTATTTATTTTATGAATGGAGAAGTGGGATAGCAAAAGAAAGCATGGCCATGGTAGGTTGCTGTACAGTATTCTTCATTTTCATCTGGGAAATCCAACAAATGGATACTAGAAATAAGACTGCTTCCAGGAGGGACCTCCCAGTCCTTGATGTTTCCAGGTGAGGGGATTTTCTGTGAAAAGATTTCTCCTGCTTTCTCGTCCACTCTCCAAGCAGTCCTCTCCCAAGGGAGAAGGGTGATTGATTTGACTGATAGAACTGAGAGGTAAAAGCAAGCTAGCCGGACTTGCCCTGGCCCTCCTTCCTTTAGGGAGGAGTCTGTCTGGCAGGAATCAGGCACTCACTGCTCAGTCACATGGGCCCAATGTGCAGAGACGGACTGGTCAAGCTACATTCTCTGACTCACTCTTATTAGTAATCAAGCCAATATTCTGAGCTCCATATGAATAAGTCCCACATCTGATTCCAAATGCGGGAGGAAAGAAGAGGGTTATTTATCCTCTAGCATGGATTCTGCATCATCCAATACCACCTCTTGAGCTCAAGCTCCAATAGTGGCATCAAAAATTCATGATTGGAGAAACTAACAAGATAACTTCAGAGAAGCACTTATTTGTTATGGCATCCATTAGTAAAACATTCAAAAGCATTGGCTCATGCTGCAACATGAAAAATATGCCAAGACGGCAAAAAAGGTGTTTGCAAGCCCTGTCTTTTGAAAACTGTGAGTACACGGTTTAAGATTACTAAATGTAGAAATACTGCTGTGGCCCGATGTGAATGGGGAAAGTAGAGGAATAGGAGTTATAGATGGCCAAGAGCAGAGGCAAAATCAAGTAAGCTCTGCTGCGAGGAAGGAGAAAAGGGACAAGCAGCTTTTGTTCCAACAAGCGTCGGCTAAGTCCAGAAAAGCCTTGCCTCAGAAAAGCAGCCTGCCTAACCACCTCTAGGTAAATATAACAGGCACATGGCTCTCAGTCAACTGTGAAACGTCAACAAGACAAATGTTGGTCACTCTTTACCAAAGTATTCAACTCAATCCCTAGGGCTTTTTTTTTCAGTGTAATTGCCTCAGTTTAATAATTAAATTCTAAAGGAAAACTCTTTACAGCAATTGCTTCATAGTGAGCTTTGCTTGACTGTCCCCTGCTAGCTGAAGCAAGGGACACCTGGACTCATTAAGGAGCTGATTAACACCCCAGGAATTCTACATGGCAAGTTGGTAATGTTTACTTCCCCTGTAAAGCACCTCTCACCTACCTGTGCGTTCGGAATCGGGCATTCCTTCTTGAGGAGTTTAAAGGAGAAGTAGGAGACCTGGTAAATATCCGGCCTTTTGTCAGGGTCTGGTTCCAACATATACCCTAAGATAAACATATGTGAACTTATTTAATAATACCTAACAGTCACCATGTTAGCTAGGAAGCATAATTCCTCTATTACCAAAATATTGTTCTCGATTTTTATTTCTCACCAAAGCCAGACAGTGCAATCAGTTCTTTTCCTCCCCTCTTAAAAAGGGACGTTCTAACTTTCCTAAAATCTTTCATCTCACAAAGAAACAAAGTTTTTGAATTATAACAAGGATACTTGAAGTTCTTGTGCCTCGTACAGCAGGGATGCAAGCTCTCAATATGAAAATTGCCACCTTCATATTGTGGCATCTAGGAAGTTATAGAGTCCTGCTTCTGGTCTTCTTAGTTTACAATATCTTGCTAAATTAATGATTATTCTTGATGATTATAACTAAAACTCATATTGCAAGAATTTACCTATTATTCTTTTGTTAGAGATATTAGCTGGTTTCCAGTCTAAAAGAAATTGCAAAATAACAAGTATACCTCTACTTTTATCCTGATCTCGAGATCACTTGTCTGTTTCCAAATCCTTTAAGCTTCTGCCCTTTCTGAAGCTGGAAAAATCCTCAGGAAAAAAAACTTCTCAGAAGACATACTAACATGTATATGTATACATACACACAACAATACAAAGCAATTTATTGCTTAAGGAATCAAATGAATACTTTGGACACTAAATTCAGAAAAGACTAATGAGGGGAATAGTCTTGTGAAGGCTTTGCAGAAAATGCAGGACTTGAGCTGGTCCTTGAAGACCGGAAAGATTTTAATTAGTCCAAGGAAAGCAGAGAAAAAAGACATTCTAAGTTGAGAAAAGAGTCTGAGCAAAAATGGACTTGCAGAAAGAAAATGAATGCCTTGTTACGAGAAAATAGAGAAGTGAGAGGTGCAGGGCAAGATTTTCTTGTCAGAGAATACAGGGAAATAATGCCGGGTGAGTGGGGTGGAATCAGAATATGAAGGATCTTTAATGCCATGCCAAGAACCTCAGGCCCTACTATGGGACCACTGGCAAGTCATGAAGTCTACTAACAGGGACTGGATAGAGTGGCACTTATAAGATTAATTTCATGGTGAGGGTGGGTTGGGTTAACTGAAGAGACAGGAAAGAAGCTGGTAGCCAACCACCAGTCAGTACAGGTATGAGCTGACTGAGTGTGTATATACTATGGTGACAGTGATGAGAACACAGAGAATGTAATCAAAATAGGAGAAACTCCAAAGACAGAGTGTCACTTAGGAAATAACAGACTCCTTCCTCTCTCTTGCTGGCCACATGCAAACAAAACCTTAAATTTCACTCAACCAGGCTTGAAGAGTGATGCCAATGATAGAAACTCTATAAAGAGGAGAGGGGAGGTGTACACTGGGAGTAAGAAGGGAGGAGGGCAATGACAATATATTTAACTTTAGACCTGTGAGTTTAGGGTGACCATGGAATCTTCAAGTAGTCTGTAAACTGAAACAGGTCAGAGTTTGGGAAATATGTCAGTGTTACAGACATTCATAAAGAGTAGTTTTTCCTAATATAAATTTGCTACACAAAAGTTAGAAAGAAAAAACATATATTACAAAAAAACTCCTACCATTCTAGTATCTAATTTGGCCACTTTACTGTATTTCCCTCTCATTTACATAGTAGCAACTCTAAAACAGAGATACAGTAGTACCCCCTTATCCACAGGGGATACATTCCAACTCCCCCAGGGATGCCTGAAACCTATGATAGTCCTGAACCCTATATATACTGTGTTTTTTCCCTATATATGCATACTTAAATGTTTTATTTATAAATTAGGCACAGTAGAGATTAATAATAACTAATAATAAAATAGAACAATCATACCAACATACTGTAATAAATGTTATATGAATGTGGTCTCTCTCAAAATCTTATTGTACTGTACTCACCCTTTGTTTTGTGATACGATGTGAGATGATAAAATGCCTACATGATGAGCTGAAGTGAGGTGAATGATGTAGGCTTTGTGACCTAGCGATAGGCTACATTGACCTTCTGACTAAGAAGGTGGATCATCTGCTTCCTGAGCATGGTTGACCTCAGGTAACTGAAACTGAGGATAAGGAGGGACTATTGTAATATTTTACTTCTGAAAACAATCCAACAGCTATTAAATACTCCATTTCTCCCTCTTTTTGTTAATAAGCAGAAGAGGTTGACTGATAAAACTGGCACAATGGAATGGCTAGTCATTTAAAAGCTATAACTCTGTTAGTTTGGGTAAGTTACCTATATTTTCTCAGCCTCAGTTTCCTCATTTGTATAATGGGGATAATTATACTTACAATATAAGGTTTTAAGAATTAACTGAAGTACAAGTAGGCCCTCAACAAATGTCAGATATTCTGCCACAAATATGCTTCTATTTTCTCCAGTGTATCCCTACCCAGGACACAAACTGGGTTGCTCAGGATTTATAATCCATACTGGTTAAAAATTTAGATACCAAGTGTCTTGACCAATGTAAAAAGATGATAAAAAAATCTCTGTTTAGCATTTTAGTAGAGGGGCTTGTATGACGATTATTGTTCTACCATCTGCTTAATGAACATTAGTACATATGCTTGCTATGACAGTGTAAAAGAATAGAAAAATCTTAAAAAACATTTTAAACAAAGCATTGAATTTAAGTGCTTGTTATCAAAATCCAGAGATGGATTGAGAGAAAAAAACCTAGTTCCATAGTTATACAGTTTTAATTATGTATTCACTCCAGCCAACACATGGCAATCATTTTAATTTGAGTTGTTTCCAGTTTTGAAAAGATGAATTTCTTATCATTTGATACAAGTCAGTAGGACTCCTTCGGTACCAGAGCTCTCACACTGACTGTGAGGGAACAGAGCAGTACTGCACTGCTTAAAGCACAGGCAGGATTTCTGCTGGGTGTAAAACTGTTTAGATTTCTAGCAAAAAGACACACCACTCTAATTAGACACTGTTATATTGTCTTTGAGTGACCAATCACTGACAAGTGGTTTTTTTTATCTTCACATCCAACCCACCACTTCTGGGATCTAATCCCTTTATCCTCCAATTCATTCTTAGAGATTAGAGATAAAAATATGAAACTAAAAACTCTTAATACTTACTAATTAGGCAGTGCATATCTTGGGAATATCGAGAGTTATCAGGAATTGTGAAGTTTCCATCACAAATTGCCACCTGACTCTCTCCAAATGGCAAAGTGAAGTAACATAATTTATACAACAAACATCCAAGAGCCTAAAAAAAGAAAGAAAGCACATTGCCATTTGTGATTTATTTACCATATCTGCAAATTGGTCTTCTAAGAGACTTACTAGTATATATAAAAACTAGGTACTATTAACATATTAGAAACTAACGTTGTTTAGCTGCTGAATTACATTATTTCCACCATCACTACCAAACTGTGCTCCAATGAAGGACAAGTATTTCAGCTGTTCTTCTCTTAAGAACTAGTAACACATATGTGAACACCACCTAAATAATGGCACACCTGAATAATTTGCAGAGAGCTCTAAAGTTACTTCCTTTAACATGCTTTACGAAGCAGTGGCTGGTCACCTCAAGTCGAAAATAATCCCAAGTACACATGATATGGTACAGGAGCCACTCTTGATATGGCACTATTTGCATTAAACTTGGGAGTTTACAGTCAAGACTGCTTATATCTGAAATGTGGATAGGTTAGTTGACACATACCCAAATGTCTGCCTTCGTAGTGATGATTTTGCCACTGTACAGGTTGACCATTTCTGGTGCTCGATAGGACAGCGTTGTGTATCTACAATCGAGAGAGTCAATTTTTGTTAAAAATGTCAATGTTATAATTAAGAACCAGGGGTAGCACAAATACTTTAAATTAAAAAATATATATACATATGTATTAATAGAGCCTAGTTCCCTGGGAGTAATCTTAGGAAACTGGATGAAATATCTGTGCAGATAAAATGAAAGCTGTCCTTGGTACATACCTGTGGCCCTCTAACAGCAGTTCTTATAGCCTAAGAGCATGTGGGGACCCAGACACCAAGGCACTAAACAAACTCTAAAAGCAACCTTTCTTGAGTCCTCAAATGACAAAACTGTTTCCTGTAAATCCTTGCTGATACTATATTTTGATGATTGTTTTTAAACACAGTAATCCTCTTACATGTGGCTCAACAGAGATGTAATACTGGCTGGGATGTTTTAGAGAAGAGCAGAAAGTGAGCCCTTCTGGGGTGGGAGGTAAATGGCTCTTCACTACTGGAATAAGGCTGAAACAACAGTTTTCCTCTTATCTCTGGCTCAAGAAAAGAATAGTATAAACTCATCTTCAAAGTGAGTGACCTGATGTCACCTGGTGTGACCTGTGCTGCTTGAGTCTCTGGAGCCCAGGGGGCACTGTGGTTTATATCCACCAGGGCCTTGGGCCAAAAGTCTTCCTGCTGCGGGCTTAGTTGCCAGGGGTGATGCAGGACAGGAGAGGATCAGGATGTAAGTACATATGCCAGCCTGTTGATGTATTTGTAGTAACAGTGAGTGTCGTTGCCATGAAAAACCCAACACTCTGGACCATTAGGGGAAGAGTGAGGTTCCTTCTGGAGTCACAAATCTAAAGACACAATTTCTCATGAAGTCAGTGATTCAATATCTGTAGAGACTTCAATAGCCCTACTCACCATTAATTCCAGTAGATTGCAGGTGAGCTCCTTATAAGAACAAAGGAATATACAGCAATTTAGGGCTCAATAAAAAGCACATCCAACTGACTGATAATGTTACAGTTGTTGTGATCCCCCTTAAAAGTATCACAGTACTTCTACAGTGTGTGCACCATTCATCTTTTTAAGGGCTATACGACTTAAGCCAAAATATCTACGTTCAATAATCATAGGACCATTTATAAAGTGCTATAAGATTCCTTTACTCTCCTGATCAATGATTGAGAAACCCCTCTGCCTCCTTCACCTGAAATCAAACAATCCAACTGCCAACGTGTTGCTCTGAGATGAGGGGTAACTGACTAGCATCATTGTCTTCCCACCTTGATCTTCTCATCCATAAACTGAAAGTAAAGTTTCTGATCTGATAATGGACAAAACTCCAAGGAAGGAGGAAGAGCTTACTTCTTAATCTCATCTTCTACTGCATTGACTCCCTCAGTTTGTGGATTCTGGAATTTGTTGGTGGCACTTCCAAAGTCACACAGGACATAATGGCCTCGGTCATGCAAGAGGATATTTTCAACCTGAAAAACATTCCCGAACCACCCATTCCAAGATACCATTTAGTAACACAAATGAAAACTGTTTTGCAGTCACATGAATATTTTATTTGATAATCCCATTAATATGCAAGGGAAAGTTATTCCCCTGCAGGTATCTCAACAGGGGTCCATCCCAACATCCCAAGTGGAATAAAAAGGGCTATGGAGTAATAGGGTAAAATGAGAGTGGAGGGACAGAAAGAGGGAACTCCATAATGGGAAAGCAAAAGTCCCTTTTTGCCACATTTCTCACCTCTACAGAAATAGTATTTACACTTTCAAATCTCTCTGTCTTTTCCTCATGTTCTTCTTTCAGTCTAGAATGCTCTTTATGATCCCTCCTCCTTACCAAACCATCAAAATCCCATTCATCTTTCATACTCCTATTCAAATGCCACCTCTTCTATGAAGTCTTCCTTAGGCCCCACTCAAACAAATCTCACTCCTTCCCAATTTTCCTTTCTTCCAATGTCAACTATTGGGCCCTATAAATACATATATCAATAGGTTAGGATTTTCAGAATTAATAAATATTTGCTATATTTTAGTTACTTCTCAAAGTGATGAACAGCCTGTGAGCAAATGCACAGTTTTCCTGTTAAAGTGTTATCCTTGTCTTTTTATAGATGAATTCTTTGGGCAGTGAGTTAGGAGTTCTGGATAGAAGGGAGCTTACAAAAACCAGAACTTAGAGAGATCCCTGGCATCAGAGGACTCTGCCAATGAAATAACAACTCCAGGGCAGTAGGCGTTACTGTACTCAAGGTGTATTGGTTAATTTTTGGCATAGGTGAATTGAGCTGACTGGTATGCTGAAGGACAGACCTGGCTATGCATGGGCAGTAAAATAGCAGCCCCAAAATCTTGTTAGGCCAATATGTCCGTAGTCTCTATTGTCTTCTGTCTTAGTCTTCCAAAGACTGACAACATGTAGAAAACAAGGGCAAGAGTAGACTATAAGCTCCTTGAAGATAAGCGCCACCTCCAAGTCTGTAGTCCTCTCTACCAGTGCCTCACAGAGTGCTTGGTACAGAAAATATTGGTTGAATAGAATAAATTAAAAACCAGAAAAGTCTACAACTCTGTGTTTGTGTATGTGTCAGCCTGTCACAGGCAAAATAAGAGCCACCAAATACCCAGGCTCTACTGCTACTATAGGTTATTTTAGAAAAAAAATCTGGTCAGTTATGTTAGTCTCTTGTTCCTATACTTGTTTCTACACTTTTTAATTCTTCTAAAAATTATATTATGTATCTTTTAAATGTTCATTTTATAGTCTGTATCTGCTAACTTTAGGCAAATCTTTGCTGCAGAGTGATTCTATAGTTTATTGTTTCTTATTCCTACTGAGTCTCCCTCAGGTGTTATTGAGAGGGGTTTCGTCATTGTTGGCAAAATGCGTTAACTCATGTTCCTCAGACTTCATCTGTAGGAAGCCCTTGAGGCCTGAGTTTAAAGTCTATCCTTTTTTCAGTGGGGATATGCTCTGCACCTGGGGCACTACTAACCTACAATCACTTTAATCTGAAATCTTGACCTTGGGATTTTTAGCCACACAGGCCATGTGAACTATGACCATCAACTTAAGTGAATATGCTCTTACAAATAAGAACCCTTAAGGGAGACTTGTTCCCTAGAGCCAAGGCTACAGCAGACAAATATTTCTACCATCTACAGCTTTTTATAAACTCATCAGTTTAATTTATTTACACAAAGTGAAACAGTCAAGCTATTCTGAACACACACTCACTTTAGGAATCTAAAATAATTCTAGCAAAGAAACACTAACATTTTCAATGTAATTTAGAGGTTATGAAAAGAACAGCTACCATTTACTGAGCTTTTACTCTTATGAATACTTCTATACTTAGCACTTTACATGGATTATCTCACTGAATCCTCATTAATAATACAATAATATCTCCATTTTACAGATGGGGACAGTAAGGCTCACAGTGATTAAGCCAGGAAGTAAACCTAGGCAATCTAACTCTAGAGAAGGACAGGCAATTACCCTTCCGCCAGGGCAAGAAGCAGGTTAGAAGCAATGACTCAAGGTCACCACTCCCACCTTCCAACCCTGGTGGGTGTGATGACTACACTCACCCAGTATACTGGAAAGCAGCCTAAGAACAGGACTATCTTAGTCCTTTCTGTACAGAAATGTCCCTAAAATAGGAATCTCATCACTGAGGAGCCAAGCCTCTAAAAACTAGCCAGGCTAATTTGCTCCATGTTCTTTAAGCATTCCCTATGTTGCCTGGTTTGTTCTTCTTTAAATTGCCCACTCTCCACTGCTCAAGGCCTTATTCAAGTTGTAATCCAGTAAAACTTTCCATGGTCACCCTACAAAATTTGTAGAACTTACTGTCGGTAGGAGGGCTTGGCAAAGTAAGACTCTCAGGTCAAAGACCCTCAGTTATTTATCCTCTGTATGGCTGCTTTTGAGATTCAAATGCAGAGTTGAACAGTTGTGACAAAGACTAAACAGCTAAAATATTTACTATCTGCCCTTAGGAGAAAAGTTTGCAAACATCTGGTGTATAATTATATAATGACTATGTGTCCCCTACAATGCCCTGTCCAGTATATGACACACAACAGAGACCCTGAAATCCCTTATTCAGCATCATTTGGCAACAATCTTCCTTCTTGGCCTCATGTGTCTTACAGGGCTCGTGTGAAACCATACATCTCCTATGGTATGTGTGCAGTCTCTTCTCAAATCAGTTCCTACATTTCTAATGCTGGAATGTACAATCTAGAAAACTGAAGTTAATTCATATCAGAACACAAACAAGGTAATTCTCAAGATCAAAATCAATGTTGGGGGAAGGAAGAGAACTAAGTAGACAAAGGAGAGAATGAAGAGGAGGAATAAGAATAAGAGGAGGCACATAATCTAGAAGAAATAGAGAACTCTCTCAAAAAATAAAACCTTCTAAAACTGACCCAGGAAGAAACAGACAATCTGAACAAATTACCAGCAATGAAATTGAAGTGGTAATCAAAAAACTACCTAAGAACAAAACTACTGGACCAGATGGCTTAACCACTGAATTTCATCTAACATTTGGAGACCTAATACCCATCCTCCTTAAAGTTTTCCAAAAAGTAGAAGAGGAGGTTATACTTTCAAACACATTCTATTAGGACAACATCACTTTAATACCAAAACCAGGTAAAGATACCACAAAAAAAAGAAAATTACAGACCAATATCCCTGATGAACATAGATGCAAAAATACTCAACAAAATATTAGCAAACTGACTTCAAAAATACATCAAAAAGATCATCCACCATGATCAAGTAGGATTTATTCCAGGGATGCAAGGATGATACAACATTCAACAATCCATCAACATCATCTACCACATCAACAAAAAGGACAAAAACCACATGATCATCTCCATAGATGCTGAAAAAGCATTCAATAAAATTCAACATACATTCATGATAAAAACTCTCAACAAAATAGGTACAGAGGGCAAGTACCTCAACATAATAAAGGCCATATATGACAAACCCACAGCCAACATCATACTTAACAGTGAAAAGCTAAAAGCTTTTCTTTTAAAATCAGGAACAAGACAAGGATGCCCACTATCTCCACTTTTATTCAACATAGTACTGGAGGTCCTAGCAATGGCAATCACACAAAACAAAGAAGTAAAACTGTCACTGTTTGCAGATGACATGATATTGCACATAAACCCTAAAGAATCCACCCCATAAGAAGAATTAATATTATCAAAATGGACATCCTGCCTAGAGCAATCAACAGATTCAATACAATCCCTATCAAAACACCAATAGCATTCTTCAACGAACTGGAACAAATAGTTCTAAAATTCATATGGAACCACAAAAGACCCCGAATAGCCAAAGCAATCCTGAGAAGAAAGAGTAAAGCAGGGGTATCACACTTCCTAACTTTAAGCTCTCTTACAAAGCCACAGTAATCAAGACAATTTAATACTGACACAAGAACAGACCCACAGACCAGTGGAACAGAATAGAGTCCAGATAATAACACAAATACATATGGTCAATTAATATACGACAAAGGAGTCATGAATACACAATGGGGAAATGACAGTCTCTTCAACAGCTGGTGTTGGCAAAACTGGACAGCTACATGGAAGATAATGAAACTGGATCATTGCCTAATTCCATGCAAAAAAGTTCATTCGAAATGGATCAAAGACCTGAATATAAGTCATGAAACCATAAAACTCTTAGAAAAAAACATAGGCAAAAATCTCTTGGACATAAGCATGAGCAAGTTCTTCATAAACCTATTTCCTCGGGCAAGGGAAACAAAAGCAAAAATGAACAAGTGGGACTATATCAAGCTGGAAAGCTTCTGTATAGCAAAGGACACCATCAATAGAACAAAAAGGCATCCGACAGTATGGGAGAATATATTCATAAATGACAGATCCAATAAAGGGTTGACATCCAAAATATATAAAGAGCTCATGCACCTCAACAAACAAAAAGTAAATAATCTAATTAAAAAATGGGCAGAGGAGCTGAACAGACACTTCTCCAAAGAAGAAATTCAGATGACCAACAGGCACATGAAAACATGCTCCACATCACTAATCATCAGAGAAATGCAAATTAAATCCACAATAAGATATCTCCTCACACTAGTTAGGATGGCCAACATCCAAAGGACAAACAACAAATGTTGGCAAGGATGTGGAGAAAGGGGAACCCTCCTACACTGCTGGTGGGAATGTAAAATAGTTCAACCATTGTGGAAAGCAGTATGGAGGTTCCTCAAAAAGCTCAAAATACAAATACCATTTGACCAGGAATTCCACTTCTAGGAATTTACCCCAAGAACACAGCATCCCAGTTTGAAAAACACATATGCATTCTTATGTTTATCGAAGCACTATTTACAATAGCCAAGAAATGGAAGGAACCTAAGTGTCCATCAGTAGATGAATGGATAAAGAAGATGTGGTAC